CTTGTAGACACATGTCCAACGTCAAAAAATAATTGGGCCTAAACTTGGAAAAAGCAGTGCAGCGTACGATCAAATTAAAAAAAAGGTAAATAGAAAACTAAAAAATGACCTCAAGAAACTTAATATTTGAAAAAATAGTGAATAATACAGGGCAAAGCGCCTTCCTCTCTTCACCTATCTTTGTACTGGTCCCAAACGAGCGTTCAATTTGAATGAATTTTATCAGTGAGGGAAAAGCGCTACATTTACCTAATCAACGCAACTTTTTCTTTACAACGCAGTAACAAAGCAAGTGTTTTTTTTTTGAAAGAAAGATGCGTTTCTAAAATGTTATATAATTGTAAAGAAGTGCGGCTAGAAAGGATTTCAGCTATGCTACAAACCGTCCAGATAATCAGTGTGATAACTCAATGTTAACTAGCATTGAAAAATTTCCGTTAATTAAAATTGGAGATCCTTTTTTCACAAATAAAAACCTACGAAATTACTAAAACACTATTAGACTTTTTGGTAGAAAGACAAGGATTAATCGTGCGCTGCTGGAAAGGGAAAGGCACCAGGCCGCAAGGGGAAGGCAATCACTCGCCATGGCTTTGATGCAATCACTAAAACAGCTCGTTACAGTATGTTACACCTCACTTGAGGAAAACAGATCATTTGCGAAAACAAAAAATAACCTAGCAACCAAACATGTCCGGTCATTTCAAAAAGCCCGTTGAGGGGCATTACCACCATCCCAACAATCAAATCCGCGAATGCTAATGAAACAATGAAATAACCTGTTGGACTCCGCAAGCTTTTGACCAGACATACAGCCAGTACTACAAGGCAGTTACCTGCAATTTTTTCACTTCATTTGCAGTCGAAATATAGCTGGTCAGAGAACAAGATGTGTTCGGAGACAAACACCACTTCATGCGCTTTAGTGTGGCAACAAGCCGGATTCAACAGTGTCAATGTTTTCTGTCCAAAGTAGCTGTTATCCGCACCACGCACGTGCTATCAGAACCGATGATTTTTAAAACCAAAATT